ACCATACAAAAACCCTCTGAAGGTTTTTAGTAGTGTAATAAAGTTATTAATAAAAACAATATATCAGCTGACTCAAACCAAGCAACAATAATAATTAGTTACACATCATCTCCATTTCGGTATTTGGAACTTATCAGTATTACTGGATAGTAACATATTTATTTCACCTCTCAGAAATTATTAAACTTAATAATTTATTCTTTTCAATTATACTTTATTGTATAGCTGAAAGTGGAGTGGATCACAGTCGCTCTCGAGATATGTTAGCTATTCTATCTAACTAATTCAAAACTAATTACAAAAACTTACGAAATGAGACTAGGGTGACAAGCATGCTATTATGATATTAAATTTTTAACTAAACATTCCATTATTTTAAAACACTTGTGTTTTATATACATATTAGGATTTCTTGATTCATTGAAGGAGCTTGTAGAAAACAACTTTTTGTAATTATTAGCACTTTCAGACATGTGTTTTGCTGCTTCTTATTGATTTATTCCTGTAAATGTACTTCTATTGGTGAGCCTCTGATTTAAAAAGGTTGCAACAAATAAATAAATCAATAACTAGTATTAATAGATAATAATGAAGATGGATGAACAAAAATAATGGAGTTGAATTATTTTATAATCTTAATCATTTTTAGTTACCGGTAATTTCTTAATATTTTTTAAACATTTAGCTTGGTTTGTAATGTGAACTCTGTCAGATGGTTCTGTACAACAGCACAGATGAATGAACTAAATATAGACTTGTAGATAATGAAATAAAGATATCGTATAGAGATTGCTTCTATATCTTAGTGTGGGTCTACATAATGACTGGGCCTAAGTCTGCTTTCAAAGGACCTATGATCTGTTTGTATAACCAACGTGGTCAAAACAAAATTTTGTCTAGCAAAGGTTGCATAGGGCTTAATTATTAGCTGCGTTTTAGTTTGGCTTATTACTCTGATATCTAAATTTTATTAAAAACCCAAAGAATTTACAAAATTAGCCATGGGATGTGTAGTTTTTTTCATAATTAAATCAGTGAATTTGAAAGCTGGATATTCCTTGACCATAATTATAGGTCATTAAAAATTAAACCCAGCGAATAGTTCTTCTATGGTTTGTAATTGAAATCTGTGTTTGGGGTTTTCATACAAGCACACGTATATTCTATGCTTAATGCGACGTTTTCACAGTACATTATGCAATCCTGGACATTTGATTTTCTTAAGGATCATCAGTATGAGATATAAATACAATGAATAGAATGGTTGCATGGCAACCAATGGTGATGTAATGGTGCATTGAAATCCATAAACCCATTTGAGTTGCTATGACTGAGTTATCCATGAAAACAAGACATCGAATAAAATGTAATATCAAATCAAAACATGGGACATATGTGTCAATACAGGGCTTGAACTTTGGAGTTGAAAGGTTTTTAATACCAAAATTTATGAAAAACGACATATATGGGAATATAATAGAGAATATTGAAGGGCATCAAGGCAAACTCATTCTGCATCAAGGCTTCAGCCTTCAATGTCAAGTTCAAGTTCTTTCAACAGATTTATTATTTATTTATAGAGTACATGGTTAGTTTCTACCACTAACAGGGCATAAATCACCATGGTTACACTAGTTGATGTGAAATTATGCTATGCTCTCTCTGTCATTAAAGACTAATTTTTAAAAATTTACAAAATACCTCAAAATTTAATTCCTTTTAAAATTACATTATGATGTACATGGGAAATGATTGCTTTTATTATTTTCTGTTTTCAATGATCACATTTACTGACACACAAACAAATCCAGAAAGCATGCAGTATAATATGTCTGTTGTATACTGGAATTATCAAGCCTGAGTGTATCAGCCATGTAGCATATATGAAACTCAATATCATTTATTTTTACTACAATTCATGTGATACTTTAGAAATTAAATTGGATGGAATTATTTGACAACTGCAGCACAGATTACAATGCAATATTGAGAGACTGAGTAAATTGCTATAGGAATACAAATAAGTATATAACATGCATTGTTTCTGCACTTCGTGTTAAACATTGTAAAAATGCAGTCATTTCACAAAGGCAAATTTGAAAGAAACTGGGATACTGACATCAAGAACAAACAGTTGATAACTATAACCCAGTAAATACTCAATAAATTTCATAATTTGCAAATCGTTTGTAAGAACAAAATTTTGTGAAGGTCAACAGACTTCCAATGAAATCTTCACAGCTACAATATTCCATGAATTTCCTTGCACTTGCAGCGAATTGAAACGGGAACCAATACTTAAAATTTCTTTTTGAACATATTAAAATCCAATATATCTCCAAACGTAAAAAAACAGAATCTCGTAGCACAATTGTGAAATAGGTCCTGGCTGCAGTCTAATTTGCATAGAGAGAAGGCTCAGATAATGTGATATATATGCAGACATTACATATAGGTTGGAATATGATAATAAACACGCTATGAAGTTGATGTCAATGTTTGCTACCAAAGCATGGAATCACAAGAGCTCACAACATCACAATGAATATTTTAACCAGCCAGAGTTCGTATGTAATTTCCTTGTTAATTTTGGACCGAACAATTTTGTTCAACAGGGCGGAGGGATAATAATACTTGAATAAATTGTGATTGTATCTAACTGCGAGAAACACAAACAGATAATAATCCTCAAAGCCTGTGTGCAAATTTGGGCAATGGAGCACAAAATGTGAAGGATTATAAGAGATGACATCACAGACTGGGCGTTACAAATAGGACATCATTTACTTTGAATATATATATGTAGGATAAACATCTTCGCCGTATGTGAATGATAAAACAATATTTTTGCACATATTTCATAATCACAATTCTAAGACTAGAGACCTCATCTGTGACATCTTTATTATAGGATCATTTTGCTAGCCATATGGAAGAGATTTACATTCACAACAGGGATAAGAAAGTGATGGGTTTGTCAGGATAAATCAGCCATGAAAAAATAAGATACAAAATGTCAAGGTCATTCTTAAACCCTACGACTATATAATTTAAGTCTGAAACACATTCGCATAATTGAAAGTAAAATGAAAGGATTTAAATCAGGTCATTCTTGTTCAACTTGGATACCGGATTCATTCCAATCATGTGAATCACCATGTTGCCATGGCAACAGAGTACATGACATGAATAGTTCTCATTGTGACAGAAGCAATTTTTGTCTGTTCAAGTAAATAACGTTGAATATTCATCAAAGCAGTACCACCTGTGCATAGTGAGGTCAGCAGGTAATAGACGACACCCTGTGTACTCCACCCAGTCATCCATGATTCTAAAACATGACATCATCGGATGCACATTAACAGGCAATCATTCATCGTATATATCGTAAAACCAAAATGTTGTCTGCATGGTTTGAATCGATGTCATTTTGGATTCAGCAGTGGTCATGTTAATATTTTTTTTTGTTAGCACTAGCAAAATGATAATATTATGGTTGCAGACAAGTTACCTATAATTTTTGTGTACAATGGAATCAATATTGTGCCAAATCCAAGTTTGCCTTTACGTCACCTAACTGCTGCAGAAAATTCAAACTAAAGTGCATTTTTTTTCAGAACTCTTAAAAATGACCTGGGAGCTAAAAATAACTCTTCTGAACAGAGTAACAGACTGACAAAAGAAGCTGTGCTGTTAAAATTTCTTAACAAATTCTGTGGATTGAGAGGGTGCTAATTTGGTCTTCTGGGTCTTGATTTGGGCAAGTGATTGATGAGGCAAGTGATTACTTGCCATAAAGTCTGTTTTATATATTTTTTGTGAAGCCAAACATGGATAGATTTTGTAAATCCAAGCATCTACAATGCGATTAGAGTTATTTTAATACATGGTCACAGATGTTCGTCAAATTAGCTTCTTTATAGTTCTCTGCATACAAATACAAGTTTTCGTTTTTGTATAGTTGAATCAAAGCATCATGAAACCTTAGAAAATGATGAAATAAACAGACATCTCTGCTTCATGATATCATTTTGTATTCAATTTCAAACGGACACAAAATATATATATTTCAAAAGTCGGCCCAAAACAATTGTACCAAATGATTCTGCATGAACACATACATCTCTGGAATAAAATCTCAGACAAGGGACCCAAAATAAAAGACCCCATGCAAAGACAGTTCAAGTTTGAATAATCAGATCTTTGGCAAATAGGGGTTTTGGGCACAAAGGAAATGCATTATGGTTTATATAAATTAATTATGCAAAGTGAATAGACAACAACTGTGTGAAACAGGCTTGCTGAATTGTTAAACAGGCTAGTCTAAATAATTACTAGACCTCCCAACCCAAATTTGACAAGCTGTCATTTGACGAGATAACAGGGAACATCTGTGATTCAGTCTCACATGAAATTAAGTATCCACAAAAATCACATTAGTTGTGAATGTTTACATTTGCTGATCCAGAGAAACCATACAAATGCATTGACCTTGTTTTTAAAGTATTCAGTTCATTGCATTGCACTGCCTTAATAGGTCACTATTCAATCAACAGTCTTTTGTACATTCAATGGTCAAACCATTTACAGATCTCCCCAAAAAAATGACAATTTTCATTTGGTTTAAAACTGTCTCAAATATACCAGCAAATCACTGTTAAAACAATAATCGAGAGAATAGGTCTTTAAAGTTGTCAACTTGTATGCCAATGGCATCCACAAAACACATCACAAAACAGCAGGAGTGCCTGTGAACAAAGAGATCAATGAATGCAATCTGTAGCTGCATGGTTTAAGGCCACCCATGAATGCAGAGGAGAGGTCACCAACGAAATGTTGATTTTTATAAAAATACAATGTGGGAAATGACAGCTGATACCTACAGTACAGAGTGTGTTAATAGACATGTTGGTGTACAACAGCACAAGGTACTGAGTATTCCGGGAGTTATATAATTTAAAGAAGTGAAAAAAACAACAACAGACAACATGTATAGTTTCTTTAGGAATACTCATTTTAATCATTTACTGACCAAGCAGTATGGGTATCCCCCGCACATTAAATTGTAATTCAAAAAAAAAAATCACTCGCTATAATAATTATCAACAGTGGTTTGGGAACAGTTTAATGAAAGCATCACAGTCTGGCAGAGTGCTGTATGTTTGCATGTATGCACCACAGCACAGTGAACTAATGACCGAGGTCACAATGCAAACATCAGCTCTGCATGCCAAAAAAGTGAATCAATTTTATACAGTACATTATATAAATGAACACCATTTAAGTCAACAGGGGGATTAAAAAACTGGCTATTTGTACAATTATTAAAAATATAGTTATAACACACATTGTCGCAAAAAAAGGACAAGCAGTTTGGTCTGTGTACAGAAAAAAAAACAAAAAAAACATTGGCACCAACAGACACTTGAAAATGGATGGAAAGGGTTTTAAGAGAACAGTACACGGCAAAGAGCGCGTCTTCTTTTTATTTAAATATGATGGAATCACTTCACATTGTGGGGAGAGGACTTGCTTCTACACGATCATCGTATATAAAGCACATATTTCAGAATGGACCTCACCAACAGTTATTATTATATTTGGTCAGAAACAGAATATAGAAAAATATTTTCTAAAACTAGTTCTAAAATGTGGTTACTTTATTTACAATTTACATCAAGTTTCTGTGAAAACAAGAGACATAAATATATTCACCCTGACACAGCAAATTATAAAGTTACCCAATAATGGGTTCTTTTAGCCCTATCGGTATGTAGTAATTTCAAATATTCACATTCAATGTGAAATACATTCATTCAGTATTGCCCAAGATATTCATTTCATGATGTGCGATCATAAATTAAATCCACAGATAAGTAGTATACAGGTAAAATTCAATGTGCTCTTGTCTCCAGGCAACATCTACTACATTAAAAGGGGCCTGAGTATTGTAACATTTCTACATACAAAATAAAACTCTTAAGCTTCTGCACTTTAAAATTAACAACGGACGGAGCTCACTTTTTTTTCACTTGTAAAAATAAAAACAAAACATTCATATCCCCCCTCCCCTACACACACTCTGAATGCAATAAACCATGCCAACAGTAATGAGGCCCAGAAAAAAAAGGCATGAACAGAATGACGTCAATTGGAATGTAATATATGCAAGACAGACGCAGGGAAATGACCACAACAGAAAAAAAATATTCAATGTACATTCCTCTGCAATTATATTTACAGTGTTTTCAAAAGCTGACAGTGTAGAACCAGACAACTCACACACGGCACACAATTTGTAGATAAAACTGTGTCATGTTTCAGTGTTCAAAAAAAAAATAATCTAAAATATCTTAAGGCATCTTAAAGTTTATATCGTTAATTTCTTTAAAAATTATATTAAAATCTGTTCAACGATACATCCTTCAAGGGTAAGAATAATCTTTTTTGTTAAAAAAATTCCACACACAAAGTGGATGATACAATTTGATTCATTCCCTGCAGGGGGTAAAATTATGTACACAACATTTCAGTCTATGTAATTTATAAGTACACTGGGTGTACACAGTTTTCAGTTCAAGGTAACATATCATCATTAACTGACTATCTTGGGCAGTACCGTGCGCTGTGTATAGCCATGTGCTGTTGGATGTCCATCTGGGGCTCCAGCAGGAGCTACTTGACGGGTTTTACCACTGGCTACGGCACCAGGGGGAAGCTTAGCAACAGCCCCTGAACTACTGTGGCGCCTGTGACGTGCTGACGCCGAACTTTCCTGGGTTGGTGGCTTAGGGAGTCGCCGACGTAACCAAGGATGTCGAAGTGCCTGGTTTGGTGTCATTCTCGTAGTAGGATCCCACTCTAGGCATTTACGAAGGAAATCAAGAAAGAGAGGGTCATCACATCCTTTTAACCCCTTGACCAGATCCTTGCTACCAGGTGAGCCACGCATCTTTCCTCTTCGTGACCTACCTCCGTTGAGGACGGTTGAACCATCTGGTAGCGTTGTAACTGTACAATAGCGAGGATAACCTTTTGAACTGAAGAAATTTTTACTCCGTTTTGCTTGATCCAACAGCTTCTGAGGTGGCGTTCCCATTAATTCAATGGTACATGCCAGCTGATCACCCTCATCTTCACCAGGAAGAAGAGGGTATCCAGTCAAAAGTTCTGCTAATATACAACCAAAGCTCCACATATCAATAGGCATTCCATAACGTGCCCCAAGTATAACTTCTGGAGCACGATAAAACCGACTCTGGATGTATGTATAAATACGCTGATGCTCATAGCAGCTTGATCCAAAATCAATCACCTTAATCCCGCTGCGACCCTGTTGCTTTAGGAGAATATTCTCTGGCTTTAGATCACAATGGATAATCCTATTTCTGTGGAGGGCATCTAGACATTGTAAAAGCGAATGTGCAAACTTCCTAACAAGTTGTAAGCTAAATCCTTGAAACTTGTTTTTCTTGATGAGTTCATACAAATTCATACTAAGTAGCTCGAACGTAATACACATATGATTTCGAAAATTGAAATTTTCCAGCATGTGTATAATATTCATGTTATTATCCTTGTCTTGTTTTCTAAGGTGGTCAAGAATCCTAATTTCTTCCTGCGCCTGCCGATGAAACCTTTTCTCGTTCCTAACCATTTTCAACGCAATATGCTGGTTAGTTTTGTGATCGTAGGCTTTCACAACCTGTCCAAAGCTACCTTTGCCGATCACTTTGAGTACTTCGTACCTGTAAGCTATGTGATCGTGGGGCACATGTAGGTATGATCCTTGATCGTCGTCGTAACCACAGTTATTGGGGCCACCTATAACACCCTGACGCTTCTTCGAGTTTGGTCCGACGAAGTAGATACTGGGATAGTTGAAAATCTCGTGGTGCTCGAATGACGTTAGCTTATGCATGTATTGCTTCATGGATTCTTCCGGAGACATGGTCGTAATTTTACCCTTTGCCGATCCCGATTTAGAGCCGAGACTAGCAGCACTATGCTGTCTTCTGACATCGGGCAATGGCGGTGGAGGCTGCGGTTGTACATGATGTATATGGTGATTATGATGCACATGGGAACCTTCGCCGTGGATTTGCTTATGGTGATCGTCATCATACAGTTGTTGTACTTGCACGCTTCCTAATGCCTCATGTTTAGTCGTAATATGGTGGTGACGATGATGCGTTTTTGCAGGTGCTATAGGTGGCAGTTCAACATGCGAGGCAGGATCGCCAACAGTCCTTGACGCGTCCGCTAGATGGTGTGCATAGGCGGCACCCGTACCCGTTGTTGTAACTAGTGAACGCGTCCGTGTTACTTGCTGTGGCTTCCTCGTCAGGGTATCAGCTTCTGTCGCCGCCATAATCATCCCCGAACACACTTAAATTGTTGCAGGAATAATAATCTGCCCAAACGATGAAGAAAATGGGAGATTTTACCTGGATATGTCCATCGAGACGGCGTGAATATTGTCCGGTGCGGCAAACAAGATGGCTACCTTGAAAATGTTGCTGTTTTTTTTCCCCCGTCAACTCGGATATTCAGGGACTGTTGCTATAACGACTCGATCGCTTCCCTGCATAAATAGCATTACGTCAGATAGCAACTGCTGATCACGTGATTTGTGTGACCAATGACACGTGCGCTTTTTGTTGTCATCGCGGCCTCCATGTTTACTGTCATTCTTATGCAAAGTTTAAAACCATGTGACAAGTTGCAACCAATCGTAACGGGATATCAAATTTTAGTTTTTTTCCCCAGCTCAGTTGATCACTCTATTTAGCTGTTCCACAACGCACGCACTCTGATCTACGTACGTCTAATTTTGCACTTTATATGTTTTATATAATATCATAAAAAGATTGTACTGCGTTGCAAAAATGTAGAGATAAAACTAAAAGCGGGACTTTAGAGTAATCAATACATTCATAAAATTACAGTTTGGTTGAAGTCGGCTCTCCAAGTGTAACAATATATGCCTCGTTTCTATGAGAAACATCACCACAATATTACCACTAGATGGCGCAGTGACCTTCAAGCGAAAATCACGCAACAAAGAACCACGGTATGTTCAATTCCATGATCAGACCATGGAGGTATAAACACCTCCATGACCAGACAAGAAATGTGCGGTATATTATAATTTCGTTTGTTTATTAGATTAATACATAGCTGGCCGGATTAGAGAGACAAAAATACACACATGACGACGTTAATGCGAGTGCACGCCCAGCTTCAATTATTTTAACTTTAAGGGGTGAACTTTTTTTTTATGATGGGGAATAAATTTGTACATACTACTAGTACTTCCCAAATGATGTAATCTTTGAGCTCATTCAGTGCTTACGTAAGACTACACAATGCCCGTTTCACAACGATTTTTTTTTCAATTTCACGCTTTCAGTTATTCTTAATTGTAGAGGTGTAACCATTTAACACTTCTCTCAAAATAAGTGATTTTACATACAAGAATGAAAGTCCCCCATTTAGCTTAAAATGTACCTTTATCCCTTCTCTTTTTACCTCCATGCTTTATGGCAATTGAAAATCTCTGTTTACGAAAACGTAATTTTGAGCATGCTTTGTAGGGGGTGTTGTCACCACTGCCAAGCTGTGCCATTGCCCACGCAGGGGTAATTAATATCGAACACTAAGAGTCTATATCATGTGCTTTGTCTGTGATCAGTACAAGAATACATTTACAAAAGTTGAATGGATTCATACAAGATAGCTCTCCTTCAATTTTAAAATTTTTTACTAATAAAGGCAAGGTATTATCAGTGTATTGTTTGTAAGTTTGTTCATTGCAAATATTTGCATAACAATTACACATTAAAGTTGTGCTTTACACAATACAAAGAGAACAATGTCTTTTAAACAATTCAGACATATAAACCAGGGGAAGCCATCAATACTGTGATGTTCACTGCAATGATTGTCAGCGAACTCAAAGACTATAGTCTTTGGCTAAATCAAACCAATGCACTTCATAATAACCAGGTTTGACTTTGCACATAGCATACATGTATTTATTGTGCATGTTGGAAATGTAAAAATGTTGTGCCACAATGTAGACCCTGATGACAATTTCAGTATGTCCACACACCGTCCCTCAACACGGTGAGGGACGGTGGTCCACAAAATGACTAAACTTTACAAAAGGCTTGCCATTTTGCATTGCAAAGTTGAATCAGCTTGACAACTGCTGGGAAGATCGGGATTCAGTAAAAAAAAATATGACTATTCTCGGAGCTAGGTCAGAATGTTCTATGTTGCTAAGATGTGTACCACTGTGCCATGTATTTCTATGGGTTCTGCGAGAGCTGCTGTGGAACGCCGATCAGAGTCAGTGAAAACAGCTGTAGTTGAGGAAACGACACAAACTCAACTTTGAAGTGATCCTGAGAAACCAAATTTATATATGTTGCACATGTAGTTTTCAGCCTTTGTTTTCACCGTGATGGTTTGCAAGGCGATGAAAATGCCTGGATGTCTGCCCCCGAGAATAGTTAAATTGAGGCATAAACAAGAATGTTGTGGGCATGATTTCCTTCCTATTTACACTTATTTTGTTTATAAAAAACAAATTTCATTTTACAAAATTAGATGATATAGAGGTGTTTTCGAGATCACTGGAACGATGTATAGCATTACAGCAAATCTTTGTGTGTACAGTGGAACGTCATATCAGATTAGAGGGCACACTAGTTACTATCATATTCTTTAAAATGGGACAACTTAGGGGAACCCCCTCCCACCACACCACACCCCATGCAGCTATGCTAATAAGCTAATCAATCACATGTTATGTTGATATTTGACAAGTTGTTAATTTGAAAATACAAGTAGTCAGAATTACAGTAAGAGAATACCATTGATGTAGTTAGCCTGTAAAAGCGAAACAGATTAAAATCAAGCAGATAGCTGCAATGACGCTATTTAGTAAATGTAGCTACTAGTATTTTTATTGGCTACAGCAATTCACTGACGTAAGCAAACACTTCAGTATTGTACTAGATTAGTTAGACAGATATTTAAATAAAAGATTGTTTGCACATAGATAATCAAAGCTAGAGCAATGATGCCACATTGCAATGAGTTTGATGTACGTATGTTCATAATGCAAGATAAAATCAGAGAATACAGTGACAGGAAACCGCAGCAAACATCACAGGAAATAGATTGGTATTCCATGGGATAGGTGTGTGATTTTATTACCCTGGTATATGCAAATGTGCCCAGCCTACATAACACACTTTTTCAAGTAGTGTAAGTAACCCATTGTTGAAAACAATCTTGATTAAAATTGTTCACAACAGACTAATTTAGATTCTGTTGGTATACTTTAATGTAGACAAATATAATACTGTAAAATACCTTATTTTCGCTTGGAATTAATTTTCGCTGAAGGAATTGATGATTCAGTGAAAATAAAATCCAGCGAATATCCATTTTCTCCTATATTTTACATTCAACTTGTCAAAAATTAATGAAAATAAATTCCATCCTAAACACCCAAAAAGTCTTTCCAGCTAAAATAATGTATTTGACAGTTCCGTATTGTTTACTTGGATCCCAGTCCCTCTATAGAAAGACTGTGCTTGGATCAAGTCACAAAGAAAATGTGCTGCCAACCATTTTTTTGTAAACATTATGTATCAAATTCATTAAAAACATACTACAGTGTAGAGACTATGTACAGTAGTTTAATTTCTACTGTTGTATTTGTTTTGAAATTCATCAAAAATGTATTTAATAACTTCATGGATTTTGTATGAATTTTGGTTTGATTTATTCAAAGTAACCCTGAATATTCAAAATCAAATCGCATAAGACCATTACCGATACTATAAAAAAAATATTGCAGTTTGATGTCTGTTTCGTTAGTGCATTTTTTTCATGGCACTTGACATCAGAAAACTTGTTTTTTTTTTTATTAATTAAAAATAATCCAGAATAAAAAAAAATGAAACAAATTATTTTCATGTCTTACATACATCTAAAATCTCTTGAGTTTCTTTGCCAATCAGAAAGCTCAATACTAAATGCCCTGACTTAGTATAGCCACAACCTGGAAATAGTATGAAAAAGATTAGCAGACTGTGGAAGTACCAGTACCAAGAAACTCATTCACTTTCAGACTAAATCAACATAATTCATAAGTTGGTCAGTATGCAACTCCTGGGTCAATCTGTAACTTTTATGAGAAAAATACAAGCAATCACAGGAAAGACAATAAGGATTGTCTTGCATGTATTTTTTACGTGAATGGCATTTACAGTGTAGTGTAAAATAGCCCCCCCCCCAAAAAAAAAACCCAAAAAAAACCATCATCATCATCATCATCTCTTGGACAAGCATTGAAATGTTTATGCTTTTCAACTCCATTTTTGCTAAGGTTTTTGTGCCTACTAAAATTATGGCAGAATTCACCTCTGCTTTGTACTTAGATGTCTGGAAAAAACGAACAAGATTGAATAATTTAATAAAAGCTCTAAATTCTATTCCTGACAGCGGTAGTTGCTTTAGATTCAATTGAATTGAGAAACACACTCCATGTGTGCTAGAGATGACGAGCAATTTAAAATAGCGATGTTACCAGAGCAACAGTTTATTCATCAGGTCAGCAGCCATAACCAAGGTAACAGTTGTTGCTATGGCTGCCAACAGTTGTTGCAAGTTTAAGTGACAATAATGAATGTCTACAGGTATATGAAGCTTACAGGGGAAATAGATTAAGGCATGGACAAAGTTATATTTGACACTTTAGATTTGTTGAAGCTCTAGTTTTTGTATTCCGTGTAGATGTAACCATGGTTACTGATAAGTTAACTTTTAGCAGCATCTTCTCTTAAAGTCACTGTCCTGTTGAAGACGAGCTGTAAGAGACACAAGAACAGATTTTTGTCACTAAAAACCAACAAACACAATACTGTATTTAATTTTGTGAGAGATAAATTTGTGTGAAAATCACAGTGATTTTCCCTTGGAGATCCTTGAGACACAATTCGATCACAGTGTCTTTTGCAAAATGTTGTCTTCACAAAAGCCCCTAAATCATCTAATCAAACGGTTTGCAGGATATGTTTCAAGGAGTGTTGGGGTTCTGGGTTAAAAGTAATGAAGAAATTATTCTGAGAAATACAAGGTTTCTTTGCATATCATTGACGAGAACAAATAATATTGCACCATGAGCTAATAATCTAACATAAAATGCATAATTTTTTTTAATTCAGCTATTTTTGCTGATAAGTGAAATCCAGGAAATTAAACCCATTTTGATATGTTCAATTGCAATATAAATCATGTTTTGATTTACTAGCAAATCAGTGAATTTTGAAGTTAAATTCCAGCGACAATATTGCCTCTGTCCTGTTAAGTTTCAACAAGGTATTTTATGACAAAACCATCAGGCAGGCAGGACTCACAAAAACTTGAATAGCTCAATAAACAAAAATTTCTTTCTTTTTTATTTCTTAATCAATAAATAATATTGATTTGTACTTTCTGGGGTATTCCAGCTATGCTATCGATGCTCAAGATAGGGTGTCATAAACCAACCGATTGATTGTGTCATGTTTTCAGCAGATGAAATGTTTTTATATCAAACACAATAGATGGAGGAATCCAATACGCCAATATGTGTGTGGGAAAGTCCATTAAAATAAATCCTACTTATGACTTACTGCCACCATCCAGGGTTCCTGCAGGTCTCAGACCATCAAATTACAAATCCTTTTTATGGACATAAGGCCCATTGTTTAGTAATTTTATAACAGTTGGTGCAACAAGCTAACATAAATATTATCAACAGAAAACAGTAACGCATGCTATTTGAATAAGTTTTCAGAATATTCATTTCCAAAGACACTCCATAGTTAACTGCAGCATGGTGACCCGACAATATCGGATGCACCACCGTATTCGCCTACCAGTATATCTAAGCTTCAGATGATGTATAGGTCGTTAAATGCCCAGGTAGGGATTATTTCCTTGCTTGTCACGCTGTAGATATCTGAATCACAGATCAATTTTCATTTTTGATCTCAGAAGTCATTTCACAGTCCAACTAATACACTGATGATAATAACAAAATGACATTTTTCATACCAGCATTTTTTGTGTCAATTTGCTCAAGTATATCAAATAAATTTGTCAGATTTCATTGATTTTTTGATTGATTTGATATTCTGATAACAACAAATGAGGAATGCACTGAACAATGATGGCAGTGAACAAAAGCAAATAGGAGCAAAGAAGAAGCAGGTTTACAAAGCAAAAACTTACATGATCTTCTGTACTGTCTGGATCCACAGAGAAAAAGCCAATTCTCTCAAACTGAAATTTCTCAAACTGTTTGGCTTTCTTCACAGACTGATCAACTAGTGCATCATAGATCACTGTCAATGAATCCTGCAAAGAAGTATTGGTAATTTAGTAACAACTCTTACGGCAAGTTATGAAACTTGAATGACAACAGAAACTTTGCACACAGAAAACTAAAATTATAATCAAATATAAAAATTGAAAATGCTGTTAGTGAAACGAATAAAACAATGAGAGCTTACTTTGTTACAGTCCGAGACAAAGCCACCAGGCACCTCATTGGGGTCTTCTGGGTTCTTATGTTCAAATCTGAACCACAAATCAAAAGACATTTACCAGTCAGTTTTAGTATAGACTGGTAGGTTATATGAATATCGGCAAGTAAATACTGTAAAATACTTTATTTTCGCTTGGAATTAATTTTCACTATTTTCGCTGAAGGATTGATTCAGTGAAAATAAAATCCAGCGAATATACCTTTTTTCCTATATTTTACATTCAACTCATTAAAAATCAGTGAAAATAAATTCCATGCAAAACACCCAAAATGTCTTTTCAGTGAAAATTAATTTCAGCTAAAATAAAGTATTCTACAGTAGCTAGCAACATTCAGTAAGCAAAATTCTGCTGACTGTAACAGATGAGATATTGTGCTTGTAAATGATGAGCAATTAAAATTTCCCCATGCAATAGCTGAGGGTCCACAAATTGGAACGGGATGCATGGGTAGGTAAGAGAGTCAGACGCCTTTCAGTATTAATAACTTTAAAACTGAAATAAATGTACTACTACCAATAAATATATATATAAAAAAAAATGTAAACAAATAGATCCGGATACATGCAAATGTTAAAAATATTCTCATTGAATTTCATCATACTCTATTTCACAAGGATATATTACAGTGTGTACATTACAACAAGGTTTCATAAAATTAAATTTTTAAAAATGAATATATGGGAGTTAAATACAGTTCAGGACCCCCCTCCCAATACTTTGCTTTATTGAGCCATAAATATTGAAGACATAAATACACATGCAACATTCATTGTACTGCGAATGGTCACAAAGTTTTGTGTTCACATCTATTTCGGTCATGCTAGTGTTACGTAATACTTGTGTCCTTCCCAAAAGATTTAAACACTGCCCCTTTTAAAGGTCTATTACATGTCAAGCAACCTGGTCGATCACAAGACAATACCTATTGTCTGTGTATTGTCCACTCTATATATATCTTTGTCTTTTGTTTTCCATTTAATTTAAGTGTATTCTGTTTTTGATCTGTCCTTTATAGAATAATATGTAAAATAAACGTAGATGTGGGCAGGCTAAACACAGAAAATAGTTCACAGACTGTTTATCAAAGATAGGAACTATTGGCCAGCATTTCTAGTAGTGAATTTTTTTTGGCCATGTGTTGTGAAGACAATAATCTAATTTGTATGGTGAACACAGCATATCTTTTTTCATCTAGTACAACATATTTTTTCCTTAATAATAACTCATGCTTTATGACAATAACAGGATTAATATCTTGTTTGTAAGACAAAATGTGCTGTTTGCAAGTTACTTTGTCTAGATAGTTTTTGACTTGTATTTTTGTGGGTTTTTTTTCTATGTTTGTGAACATTTCCAATGACTCATGGGAATACATGACTGTTATTAAATCAATGAAAATAAAACAGTTTACATACAGCAAGCATGGTATATTTATTTTTCTTTACTAATAACTTTTGTATGATTATTAGAAAATGAAAATAAAAATATTGTTTTTGCCATGCGAATGAATTATCAATATGCAAAATTAAATATGTCATGTTTGCAAATGTACAAATTATTAGTGAATTATATTATATATTATTTATATTATTTTATTTAGTATTATTTCAGTTAATCAGTTATGACAACAACCATTATGCTAGAAAATGAGTGGTTGACAAATCTGGGACTGGAAATACTTGCAGGAAGTTCTGTGCATTGTTTTTATCATGTCTACTTACAATCTATCATAGAGTCTTATTTCACATGTGATAGGTTTAGATATCCAATGAATGAAGCTCTTTGGTTTGTCCGTTTCACCCAGGGCTTTACACGTTACTTTCAGCTCTGTAATTTTACCACTGTTGTTCTTTATGATGTCTTCTACACATATGACATAACCAACATATTTCAAACCAACAGGTTGGTTAGTAGTCAGGCGCCGATAATTCTTCTCAGCTGTCTAAAAATAAAATATATTCATATAACAAAAATACTATTGTATATTCAAGATACATACGAGATACAGATTCCAGGACGGGACAGGATAAACTATTTTACACCCCAATTTGTTACTAGTTCTCATGTTATTCAAATATTGGCAATGATCCTAGATAGAACACAGAACTTTGTAAAGAATATGAACATGACTGGCAGTACATCACAGTTCTATCTAATGTGAACAGCTATCTTGAAACAGTGCCCTCTATGTTAATGTAGACATTATGTCATATTTTTAATTTTAATTTTTAATTAGAGGTTATAAACTGTAAGTATTCGGTAGCAGAAAAAAGACCTCTTTTTAATGACATTGCACATCATAATGGTCAACGCACATGCAAGAATTTACAACAATTCTAGTATATTTAACAAATGATAGCATGCACTATTTTTGCACATAAAAGCTGAAAAAAGTATAATTATTTTGGTAATTCTTTGCATTTAAGCTGATTTACAAAAAGGTGGCCAATGAGTGACTGTCTACTTAAAATGCTATGCAGAAATAAAAAATCACATTTATTCAGATTTTTCTTACAGAATAAGCAATATACTAACATTTTTGTAATAATAATTTGTATTATTACTTTACCAGATTTTGCACTTTTGATTACGGTAGTGTATCATACACCTACAATCACTATTAACAGTGCTGATCATATGATCTCAATTCAGTTAGATATTTAAGCCAGTTTATTCAGTTTGGAGCTATAAATAGACCTACCGGTAGCTTCAGCCAATCAGATGCTAGATTCAGACTAACCATGTTATAACCTTCATTACACTATTGTGTAATACAATTGTATTGTATTGCATTGTGGGTGATTTTTTAAACAAGGGAACAGGGGCGCAGCACCCTCATGCCATGGCTATGCTCCCCTTACCCTGGGGAGCAGATACTCTGGCAACCATAAAATATGTGGCCACAGTCTTCAACTGTGACCTGTCTGATAGTCATTTTGGCTCCAAGGAAGCCAAAGAATGCTCCATTTTATCAAAAACTCCACACCCTGGTAGGGAGAGAACCCTATCTGCCCCACCTGGTGGGGCCGCTGAATTGCAGTGCTCCCTCTTGTAGTTTTTTTCTAGAAAAAACCCTGATTGTATATTGTTCGTAACAGTTTTACTTATGCAAAACAAGGAAGTGATGGAATATTAGCTGTGAGACACACCTTGATGACCATGAAAGACATAGGACATGTGAGATAGTGTCCAGAGCCATTCTATTAATTACAATAACACATGAATAAAACACAAACCACTGCAAGGCTAGATCACACTCCACTTGATTGTATTCCATTACCAGAATCCTTTTTCTTCACAACAATGACACTCCCTCATCTTTGATGCACCCTTTGACAGTTATTTCAATGCATATTTTGAATTGTTCAAGACGGTAACGGTTGGTTTTTAAGGTCCTGGGTTTGCATCGGTATCGTTTCAAAATAGCAGGCTGAATAGGAGATTTGTATGAAAAACTAGACTCGCATGGAGATTATCAATTAAACAATATGCTAACCATACTATTGTCCATGTGGAAGTGGTTATTATAGATTATCCAATTCTGTGCTGAACTAACGAGACACCCATGACCAGGATAATATTGTGACAAAGTATGTAATCACTTAAACAAAGGCAGAATATAAAATTTAGTACAGATAAGAAAAAGATTTATGACAATGATATCAGCTAGTTTTAAATTTAAGTGCGAAATGTTCTTGCCAAAATTCAACTTCAATCAACAGCATATACTGTACAGTGGATGATACAGAGAGTAAAATTATTTTGATGGCAAGTACAATTGAGAAAATATTTTAAAATGAACACGACAGAAATAAGTAATTTTAAATTAATAAACTTGTTGATAAATACTTGATAAACAGTGACCTTAAGTTACACAGTGTTTGAGAGAGCAAGGTAAACTGGCCAATCATGAATGGGACGCACAGACACAGATGTCTATGAACAAAGTAAACTGGCCATGAATAGAATCCAGTTTAAGATCACAAAAGTAAGCAATTCTTTAGTAGTGAACAATTTGAATGAACTATGACACAGATTTATGAATACAACTGCACAAATTGATATGTGCTTAGGACACTGACAATAAACTAACGTTCAATGACTAACAACATGGTTGGTTCAATAGTAAAGAAAAATAAATAGAGTAAGTAATTTTGAATCGGAACTTTAAACAAATGCATGTTATTTAATATGTGTGACATGATGTAATTTTGTATAATGTAATTGTAAATGTTGATTGCAATCAGTTAAGGTATGTCAGAGATATGACTCTTGAACAGCAATAGTTAATACAAAAATTCTGTCATTTGCCCATTTTTAATCCAATTACCGGTAAGGTTACATTTTGTTCAAAAGAAGTTTGAAGAATAACTGAAGAATAAATGTATGATTTTAATGCATTTTTAAAATTAAAATGGCTGCAATTTGGCAATCTTAAGTTGGATTTTTAAATGAATATAGTGTATAAGTGTAACATAATGTATAATGTTGTATATAAGAGATATGTCCGAGATACAGGTGGGGACACATACATGCACACACACAAGTGCCCATTTTCAGAATTCATGATAAGTTATTGTGATTTGGTTTTAATTAGGCTTTAAAATGATAACCTTTAACTGAGGCGTATAACCTATATATTTAGTGACTGAAATCTTTTGTAAAATTCTCATATCCACTCATCACCAATTTAGTTTAGTTAGAGAAAAATAACTAATAGGTATGTGAAATATTAAGGTTTATGAAATAATTGAAGAACAGATCCTAATATTTATACTTTTAAATAATAGCAGAGGTACATTACTTGGGGTTTGCAACTCGCATAGTACTGTATGGTGACATCATGTCAAGATCCCATTCAAGTCTCTTCTCGTAGATAGCGAGACTGAGGCTACGACCTTCTGACATGACATATATCAATGTTCAAGGTTTGTAATGAAAAAATAAAACTTTTCTTGTCACTATCGTAGTGAAAAATGTAATACATCGAAAATGTACAGAAAATATAGTTCTCGTAATCCGTCATATCGTGGGCAGCTATTTTGATCCACCTGGACATCCCAGTATCCTAGTTACCTCGGGCATGCGCATTCGCATTTTTCTGAGTTGGAACGCTTATGCGAGAGCGAGATTGTGATGGGATCTTTGTATCATGTCACCGTAGTTACAAACCCCAAGTAATGTACCTCTGATAATAGCCAATCAAAACAGCTGTTATATCAAGTAGATGGCAGGCCTTACCTCTCTAAAATCTTCCCTCTCAATGTAGATAGTGGACTCAAAAGGCACAGTATGACTGCCTTTACTGGCATCATGTGGGATATTAGGCACATCTACTTTGTTGGGCTGAAAATGAAATTGGGCAACTCTCGGTTATGATAGTTAAGATAGTTTTGATTGTTTGATTCAACATAGTGTCATCAACAACATGCCAACAAAACAAACTTAAAGTGACACTTGAATTGATTAATAGATAAACTTTTGAAATAATGAATTTTGGCAACAAGCTTAATTCAAAGCAAAATAATGCCATTGATCTTCAGAAAACACTCTTGTCTAAGTACAGTTGCCTGGTTTTAACCTCCATATAAAAACAAAGTTCTGTAAATTACGTTACTGTTTTTTTTCAAATATACAGGTTTAAACATTGATACTACAGAGTTCTGGTTGGAACTTACCGCGTCTGATGGGAAATTTGTGATAGTGACCTTAAGAGGTTCTAGCGTTGCCATGGCTCGCTTTGCAGTATTGTTCAACACGTCTCGTACACACGATTCCAACATAGATGGATCAATTGTCACCTGAGCCATTGTTACACCAACCTATGTGCAAGAAAGAGCATACAATATTGATGTAAAACAGGGATATCCCCTGAAATGAATCATCAGATAGGACAACTCCGGTATAAGTAAGGTTAATATGAAAGTTGAAAAAAATAACGTTGATGATATCACACAACAAAAGCTACGGTAATCAATTTCAACTTTATTAACAGCACTGATGAGGAAATTGGTTGAGGCCCATGTTCAGAAAACTTTGAAAAAGAATGGCTGCTTGGCGGCCATTAATCAAATCACAAAACAAATGGGCTCATTGGAAGTATGTTGTTGACTAGTGACTTAATTAAATCAGTCAGTACTTGATTGTTAAAGACAAGTCAGGAATATATCACGAATATTAATCATTTGTAATGCAATAAATTTGTCTTGCCCCTACAACAGATAAATAGCGAACTATTGTCGGGCCTATATTGCTACATTGTGCATACTATTTGATATTTGTCTATGATTTTTAAGATTTTAGACCAAGTAGACAGAATTTTGTTGACTTGATCAAAATTTTATAAAAATGATTCCGGTTTATTTCATGAAAGATGATGAAAGCTGGCATTCAAATTGAGTAGATAAAGCTGTAGTTCCTGACAAGTGCAAAAATATCTTTACCTTAGAGCAGAATATATTGATTGCCTCTGCAGGGAAACCACGGCGACGCAGTGCTGTTAATGTGAACAATCTTGGATCGTCCCAATCTCTAAGAAAAAAATACAGATGCAACTGTTCAAATCAGAGTGACGTTCAAACTGGCTAAGGACCCATTTGAAGAAACCCATTTGATTTATCACTTTGTAGAAGAAACCTATTTGACTTATCACTTTGTAGAAGAAACCTATTTGATTTATCACTTTGTAGAAGAAACCTATTTGACTTATCACTTTGTAGAAGAAACCTATTTGACTTATCACTTTGTAGAAGAAACCTATTTGACTTATCACTTTGTAGAAGAAACCTATTTGATTTATCACTTTGTAGAAGAAACCTATTTGACTTATCACTTTGTAAAAAAAAACCTGTTCGCAGTTTCCTGTGAAGGTATACACAGATTACTAACCTAATCAATCCTGCTGATATAAGTTTTCCTATTTTCCGCTTTGACACCACGGTATACGATATATTAAGACGACCATATTCCCACTGCACTGGACAGTAGGCATCTAGCGCATTGCACAACCAGTAATACGACGATCGTCTAAAAACACAGACAGTATAAATACCTTTATATTATAAAGCTAAGGTACCCTAGATCCTCCACATTGGTCATTTCATGCAAACATTGTATTTGACTTGGAGATCTACCATACAGAGAGACTGACTGCACCAATTCAATTCAGATTTTGATTGGCAATAAATTAATTCTGATTCTGATCCGGGTCAACTGATATGATTCTGATTCTTACAATGGTGAGGATCAACATAGGGTGCTCCAATGTATTGAGAGCAAGCAAGATTCAACCACTGAGGGCGCTATTCAATTTGCATCTCAGTTTGTTGATTTATACCTTTTTTAGACATTGTTGACATTTACACATGTACTGCATAATACTTTATTTTTGCTTGAAATTAATTTGCGCTATTTTCACTGAAGGAATGATACAGCAAAAATAAAATCCAGCGAATATACTTTTTTCCTATATTTTATATTTAACTCGTCAGAAATCAATGAAAATAAATTCCACACAAAACACTCAAAAAGTAATATTTCAGCAAAAATAAATTCCAGCTAAAACATTTTGATTTATTTGATTTAAACATGTTTAGTAATTTAACTTATTTATTATCATCAAACAAACAAAAACAGTTTAGAATTATATTCTTTCCAAATTTTTCAAATATAAACTTGATTCTATTAAGGAAGAATTGATTTAATTCAGATTCTGTCTAATCTTACCTGGATTGAAATTCCTTTGTACAAAGTGAATGTGTAATATTCTCAATAGAATCACACAAGCAATGAGTGTAGTCATAAGTTGGATAAATGCACCTGCAAGAACAGAAGACATATTTACATAAGTTTCCAAATAAACACTGATACTATATTACCAGTACCACAATTAAGGGCAGTGTTAAGCATGACAAGTTGTGTTTGACATGGGTGTCTTGCAGAGTGTACAAGACACGTAAAACATGTTCACAAAACACACATGGCAGGAGAATTGCCACACTACACTGTACCACTATGGTATTCAAGCTGTCAAAATAATATGTACTGGTATGCATTACAGCAATGACAACAATAGGATAGTTCATGAGTATTCACTCAGCATTATGTATTATTATCAATTATTTATGAAGCAAATAAGTAAACAAATATAAAAATAATGACAGGCATATTTTTAAAAAAAAAGCACTGAAATAGTTTAACAAGGACTTTGTTCAAATGGGGAACTTACAAATCACTGAAGTTACACAGTAATGCAACTGAGAATCAAAGTATTTCAATCCTTTGTTCAATGTTGTCCACATTTGATTTGTCTCATTTGCTAAATATAATTCTAAATTCACAGTTACATGTACTGGTACATCAGTACTACCGTATTTGTCTTCAATTAGGCGCCACTTTGTTACACTTTCATGTCATGGTGGCGCTTATTTGTGGTTAAATTTGAGCAACTTTGTTTCAAATGGCGCTTATTTCAAGCACTTAAGTTCTAGTACCGGTAACTGTGTTACAAGCCATTGTTTTTGCTCCATTCTGGTGATAGATTATTGACAATATTTTACATTACAGTCTGACGCTTAGTCACTGTAGCCTTTATTTAAATACTGAGTAAATGACCCATTTTCAGACAGTTTAGAAAAGTTATACAAAAATTATCATTCTTTAAAAACATTCCAGTTTGCCGTACATCAACAGAAAAAATAA